GTCTCCAAATATCAAACAAACATTTTGCTGCAAAACATTTCAATAATTATAACATTTAGAATAATTATAGCGTTGAAAAAAGATACTTCCATAGTTTAGATGTAAAAGCAAAAACAAACGTTACAATAAATTTATATATGAATATTCTATCATTATTGTCCATTAAAAATAAAAGTATAAACGTTACTAGTTTTAAAAATCATGTAAGTACTTATTATAATTTTTGTTTTTAAAACATAATTAATCCCAAAAATATAGAAAATCTCACTTTTACAATTAAAACCGGCTTAATACGGTTTGATTGAGTCGCAGGTTTTATAACCGGATTAACTATGTTTGGATTTTAATATCAATCCAACCCGGTTATATCTCCGGTTCACGCTTCAACTCCGGTGTGGTCCGATTTTTAAAACATTTTTTAATGGATTTTTAACATATGAAAAATAGATTTTATCAAAAATATTCGTAATTGTAGTTAGAACTTTATCGGAATAGGCAAATTACGAATAATTTTTTTTTTTTGAATTACTAGGAAGTTTTAAGTTTAAACCCGTAATCTTCCAGGTAAATTACGAATATTAAAAAAATATTTGACTGCAGCGGTTGGTGTGGGACGATGATGGAAAGAGATCGTCATTTTGATCGATTTTTGGAATCCATACAAAAGGTGATTAATGCCACTGTTAGAAACAAAGTCATTAGCTTGGGTGATCAATAACCAAAATGGTTTTAGAGATGAGACAATTCTAGTTTCCGACTAGAACTTAGGCTACAAGCTACAAACCTCAAGCTACAAACCTTATTTGCTTCCCACTTTGACTACTAACTATAAATGACTGTTTGAATCGGATTCCGATTGATTTTTTATATTCCACAAATGTATCTCCTTCTACTTATTTTTTTTCTTTTGAAGGATGTGTTTTGAATTTAGTTTAGATTAATTTATTGTGGTATTTTGGACTACTTAGACATTGGGCCTTCAGGCTTTGCAAAATATTTTAAATTTTAAATTCTCATGTTTTTCAATCATAAATCAATTATAAACAGATGACTTTTTGTATTTAAAAAAAATTATAAAATAGTCAATTACACTAGTTTTTAGTTTTATTTTAAAAGAAAATTTGGATAAACCAAAAATTTAAAACATAAGCTTTTAAAAGTGGCTACAATATATTTAACATTTTTAAAAAACATTATGTTGCCTAATAAAATATAAAACCACATTTGTTTAATTTGCTTTAGACTCTAACGAATTAAGTCTGGCTCTACTACATACATATACATCTCGTGCATGTCAACAAATACATGTGCGTCGTCTATGTGAACTCGTTTAGCATCCATAAAATTCGTTTACCATTCACAACAGTCATCATTGCCATGAAAACGCGTATATTATCAACTAATCTACATTGGTCTATAGTGCCAGTCTCTCTTCGTTTTCGAATAAATAGAGAAAAATGAGTATTCGATTATTAAATACAAATTTCCATTTTTCTAACTTTTAATGAACATAAGATTTTTCTTGGATGAATTGAGCCTAATATAGTTCCTAAAATGTTTCAAAATTGATGATATTTTCGCAATTTGGCTGGTGCAAAGTATCCAAACTGTTAATAATTAAAAAAACACTAATTTTCCAAATTATATCCAGTTTACCCAATTTCCTCTTTTTAATTTTCTACATCAAAATATGATGGATCCTGATTACTAACGTGAAAAAAATCAACTATTTCTTTTTATAAATTTATTTTTACTATCCAAGAATTATGTGATAGAAGAATCTAAAAAAATGGAATCCGAACATGATATTTGTTTAAAGCATTTTTTAACAAGAAATAGTTTCTATTTAAAGCGTTCAACTTTTAATTTCAGAGAAAAGCAATCAATTTAAACAAATTGAGGTGTTTTTATGAGTTTTTTTTGTTAAATTGGTTTCTTGGTAATTTTGTTTTTGTTAATTTTTTAATGAGTTGATAATGAGAATCATAATTCTAACATTAATATTTTCTACTATATCGCTACGACGCTATGGACATAAAAAAACATTAAGAAGTGAGTAGATTATCAACCATTTGCTTTATCAATTCTCCATCACCTCGTAATAGTTTATTCGTACGTGAACGGGACAATAGATATAAACATTTAAATATCTTATTAATGACGTAAAAAGATACTAAACCTTTTTCTGTAAGGCTGACAAGCATTTTCTGAAAAGTAAATGAATCCTAAAATCAAATTGTAATAGCCAATAAACATTGAAAACCCATTTTCTTGTACCTAAACCAGTGGGCAAATTTTTTACACGCGCCTCCTGTTGTTTGTTTTCTTCTATAAAGCAAAACTGTAACGTTTGTAATTTATTTTTTTTGTAACAAGAAAATTTGAATATTAATGCTTTTCAAAATTTCGACTTAACATACTAAAATACTGTATTTTTCCACTTAAATTTATGGTCCAATCCGTATGTCCTTAAAACCTGGAGTAGAAAGATGCTTTGGTGAATAAAAGACGCATTATAGGATGAACAAATGAGTTTTGTCTCGCGTGTAATTCACGTGCTATATATTTTTGCTTGATATTTTCGTTTCTGAAAATTTTAAAACTTACTAATATATTTTCTTTAGTTTTTTTTATTATATATATATTTTTTGTCGGTATCATCTGTGGGTGGTTCTCGTGCATGCCTCCCACTTTTCATCTCCAAAGTTTCCTCGTATCTCTATCCCTCTGGTCCTATGCTAACATCAAATTGAGTACATAAATACCTTTCACATTTTTTAAAAAGGTTAGTACAAT